ACCCCCACGAGCCCAGCATGAGTTTAAGCCACTGGTTCCAGGACTTGAACCGCAGTCAACTACATGGGAGTCCAGCGACAGCCATTACACCAACTGCTAGTCCCATCTTTTCAATATATTTCAATGTCTAGTGGAACTAAGTTCCTTCTCTGTTTACTTTTTTATATGAACTTCAGAATCAGATTGTCTGGTTCAAAAAGACATCTGATGGTGCTTTCAGTAAAACAGGTAAATTTAAATATTGATTTAAGGAGAATTGACATGATATTGAGTTTTTTTCTAAGAACATAGTGTCTTTTTGTATTTGTTCAAGTCTCCCTTTGTTCTTAGGGCTTACGGTTTATCTCAACATTGCATTTTATTGTATCTCTACATGTTTTTATCCTTTTTGCTAATAATGCCATTGCAGTCATTTCTTCGACTTGTCTGGGTTTTATGTGTGGAAATTATGGATACTTGTATGTGAACTGTTCATGCTACTGCTTTACTAAGTTCTCCTACTTGCAGTAGCATCTCAGATGATTTTCTTGGGTATGTACAATAGTCAATGCAACAGAATTATATAATCGCCTAAAATCAGTGATAGTTTTACCAACCTATTTTGTTCAACACCCCCCCTCAGGTTTTTGCCATGGGGCACATGCACTCACAGGAAAGGAAAGCGGCAGAGAGGTACTGAGAGAGGGAAAGTGGGAAATCACCTCCTCCCCGCCCCCGGGGTGATTTGCAGTCCCTTCTACTCTAGGATTTTGGGCATGCATACCTACGTGTCCAGCATGATTTTCAAGCCACTAGAGGTACTCAGAGAGGGAAAGTGGGAAATCACTCCCCCCCACCCCCGGGGTGATTTGCAGTCCCTTCTACTCTAGGATTTTGGGCATGCATACCTACGTGTCCAGCATGATTTTCAAGCCACTGGGTCTGGGACTTGAATGATGGTCAGCCATGTGGGAGTCTGGCACCTTAACCACCACACCTGGCACCCCCTACCTATTTTGAATTGTTATACTTCAATTTTTTTTTTCTCTCTTTGCATTGAACAGTACATCCTGAATAAGGCAAAAAGTAAGAGCATACAGGGGCCAGCAGGTGGCACAGTGGTTGAGACAATGGATTCCCACATGGCCAACTGCAGTTGATTGAGTACCAGACCCAGTGGCTTGAAACTCATGGTGGGACCATGTATGTGCGTGCCCAAAATCCCAGGAGGAAAATGAAGAGATTGTGGTGTGGTCATCCCCCTGGGTGGGGGGCTGTGTGTGTGGAGGTGGTGATTTCTCACTTTCCCTCTCACTATCTCTTTCTAGTGAGTGTGCGTGCCCTATACCAAAAACCTTAAGAAATAAAATAAATAGAAAATAAGTGTATACATTTTTGAGCAAATCTTTCATGTCTCTTCACAATGCCATTTTTAGTCAAGTTCAACATAGTCCGTCTTGGCAAGATTTTGCCAAGCTATTTTCTCAACTACAGTTTCATCAGATAACAAGTAAAAGCAGTAGGAATGGCATTCACCCCTAATTAGATGACTATTTGACTACCTTAAGAGACATTATAGCTATTTGACTACCTTAAGAGACATTATAGCTTCGGTGAAATTCTTCACTTTGAATTTAGAGCCCTAAGCAAAACTCGTATCACCACTTGCCCTAGGCCTCTGTACAAATTAACTTTCTGTATTTAATAACTGAGAACAGAAGGATGTTATGATTTGTGCACACAATTATAGAGCCTAAAATTCAGGCATTCAAACCACACAACTGGGTTAACAGACAGTATAATCATAATTTTCGAATACAAAGCACTCTGAAGCTATCAAGTATGTCCTCTATCAGAAGTTTACTGTCTCTAGTGCCCCTCTATTGTAAAAGTAAAAAAATGCAATTTTGGTCATTCTAATGACAATTTAGTACTTTACAATTTCTGCTCAGGGAATCCTCTTTAAAGTTTATTTCTTCCATGAGTGAGACAGAGAAAGAAATAGATAGAAACTGTACCCTCCCCCAAAAGGGTCTTGATGCCACCACCAGCCTCAGTCAGCCACAGATTGTGTACATCTGTGTGCCTGGTGTACTCAAGGAGGTCTCTGAACACAAACTGGAGTCTTCCCATGTGGGTCAGCTGGCAGTGTGTCACGTTTTACCACTACTAAGATTACCACTAATACAGTCTTAATCCAGCTCTTTCTGCTCATGAATATGATGGAAAGAGGCTCTTCACTCAAAATTATCCCCAGATGGGGCCAGCAGGTAGCATAGTGGTTAAGAGCGCTGGACTCCCACATGGGTGACCATGGTTCGAGTCCTGGACCTGGCATTGTGCTTTCTCACTTCGCGCCTCTCTGGTCAACTATAAATAAATTAATTAATAATAAATAAATAAAGTTTAATAAAATAATCCTTTACAAAAATTATCCCCAG